TTCGGAGCACAAATTCCGGACGAGGCTGGCTCATTCCTTCAGATTTTGACTTGTCTCTCACAGCACCCACCTCTGTCACAGCCTTTCACTGCTCGTGCTCAACATTCTGCTCATATTCATACTACACAATCGTCAACTATACTCTGCTAGCACTTCGTTGTGTGGACATCACTGGTAACGAAGATACAGATGAGACTACATTTGCAGCGATAAACTGAAGTAATGAATTGACTCACGAAATCGAAATATGACGAATGTAAATAAATCACAGAATGTGAGTTTTAGAACTAGTCTGCCATCCTTTCTGCGGTTTAAAATGAACCGAATTTGAGTGCAACGGGCACAGAAAATATTCAGCTTGGTATTCATGTAGTTTTCTTTTTCAGAGTAAAAAAATAATATTTTGGTTTAAAATTACCCGAATTCAGCTCTAGTTAGGAAGTTCAGTCGTTGTAGGTGAGACGGGAACATGGAACGTGGCTGGACACCCGTCCCTGGCTCCAGGCCCGCCACCTGTTGATTACTTGCGGATGATTCCGGGCTCATTGTCTCTGTTGCCCGGTCTCAGACCAGGGTTTGCCAGAAACTACAGCCCAACTAATCAGCAACCACCCAGAGGCACCTGTCCAGTTCTCTGGTTAAGACAGATGTCGCTTGATAATTCCCCTTTACATCGTATCTAACAGTTGAAAGTCTTTGATCCTTTGTACCTAATGAAGCGTGTTTTAATGCGCTCATTATAACTCTGTTTTTCACTGGGGTATAATTTACAGCCTCTCATGTCTCTCGCTCCCGTAAGGAATCGTTTCAGTGTACAGATTTAAACACAGTTCCTCCATTATTTTTTTCAGATGGAAGCCATGATGCGTCTTTAAAGCATAAAAGGGCACAATACCGTAACTGTTGGTTATTTATGTATGATACGAGGTATTTCTTACTTGTGCTCCAGTCAATACAATTTGTGAAATTTTAAGAGTTCTTAATAGTTAAGGCGTTTCATGAAAGATCTTTTCCGTACAAGAAGGTCGTTGTTATGCAGCAGTAGTCGAGGCTTGAGAGTATTAGTTAATTATTACTTATCTTGACAAATAAGACACATATGCAACACTTGGGTATCTTTATTGTGGAAGCTTTTCGCCACACAGTGGCTTCGTCAGTCCAGTACAAAGAAGAATGGTGAGGAGTAGCAGGAGTTCGAGGTAATCAGTCCTTCAGCCTGGGAGTCTATTACATGGATGAAATCGACTCCGGCCTGGGGGACTGATTACCTCAAACTCCTGATCTTCACCATTCTTTGTATTGGACTGATGAAGCTACTGTATGGTGAAACGTTTCCTAAATATACCCAAGTGTCACGCATGTCTGATTTATCAAGCTGTCGATTCTCTGAACCATTTATCTACATTACGTATCTTCACTGGCTTGTCATCACTTGTACAACATATGTGTTGTCTAGATTGTCGGTATTGTATACCATACTTGTACAACTTGTCATCTTTTGTTTTGAAAGCTCTTGTCACAGAGCCTATCATTTCCCTTGCAAAGGTAATAGTAACATTCTTACGTTCCTTAAACATGGGATCCTGTGGTATAGTAATCACTACGTTCTTTATATTATAACATTATCACGTTCCTTAAACTTGGGATCCTGTGGTATAGTAATCAGTAAGTTCTTCATATTTCCAGTGCGTTGTCAAGTGGTTCGATAGCGTTTTGTTGACCCAAATTAAGACGTTCACGTCATTTTCCTGTTTTCATTAGTCAAGAAAAGGCACATTTCACTCTGCAGTCAAAGTATTTTCTACTCCATTTCGTTCTGAACTTTTCAAATTTTCACCTTTTCACTATTTTCATACCAAATTAGATAAGATTTGTTTTGACTTAGAAAGACACGTGAGAAAACACCAGGACTTGTTCCCGACAGAAGTGATCAAGGTCCTGGTGTTTGCTTATGTATCTAAACCAATATGTCGGTATTTATTACCATGGTTCATACCATGGTTTGTTTTGGTTGAAAATTATATTATTTTTGTTTGTTTTCTGTGACCCACAGTAAGTTTGCATCGACAAATAAGGTTCATTGTTTTCTTCATGACCTATACTCATACCGATACAAGTATTGTTTCTGGTGTTACAGTCCTATGATTTGCATATTTGTCGTAAAATATGAAAATGAGAAGAATTGGGGAATGAATCTTTACCATAGTAACAGACTTGCATCTTTGTCATTATTAATCTCAAGTTTATTCTCTGAAATGCAGGTTACATGTGGATATTTTTTTTTTCATGTCCATTGAGTGTTTAAGTCGGAGTATTTCTGTTGCCTAGAGAAGATTAAGTTTTAACTCACTGCCTGATTAGCAGAGCCTTTCACTTTAAGCTTGAATCCATGACTCAATCGCCATGGGTTCAAACTCTACCCGTTCTGTGGTTTGTTTGCATTAGTATTATTACGATTTATATTTTTGGGGCCAGATTTGTTAATAGGTTGAACAGATGTCTGTCCATTATTTCAACTATCCCTTTTGCACACGCTTTGTGTTTTTATTCAGTGACGACACATGTCGAAGGCTCTAGCACGATGTCCAAATTAAGTCAGCATTCTATCTGTTTTCAAGACTAAATCTCATGCTATAGAGGTCTAACAGTTGCGAGAGGCAAACACTGCCTTCTCTAACTCCATGTGAGTCTGGGTTCTATAAATGTTGTGATTTCGTGTCTTTAGCAATCGTTCCGATCCTTTTAAAAAATCTGATAACGTGGGGTGTCACTATTATCAGCATATATTATATATATATATATATATATATATATATATATATATATATATATATATATATATATATATATATATATATATATATATATATATATATATATATATATTACTGCATATATATTTACTGCCACCTTATGGATTAAGGTAATGTCAGCTATTTTAGAGCCAGGGGGGGGGCACCTCCGTCTACATGGTCTCCCTGGGATATTTAAGGAGTTAAATAATGTTTTTGCATTGCAATTTCAGACGAATTTCGAAATCTTTGGGTCGAGAGCTGAGGCAGAGATCACGTGCAGGTCATCCGTTAGCTAGTGGCGTTGTCGTTAAGGGATAAATGTTGATGGTGTTGTCGTTCCAGGATGCATGATGGTGGTGTTGTCGTTCCAGGATACATAATGGTGGTGTTGTTGTTCCTGGCCTCAGGAATACCGCGGGACATAAGAAAGGGAGGCTATTCCTGGTTCCATGTATATGTGTCTTATATGTTATTTATCCACTATAGACAGGGAGAAGAAAAAAATGGATTACGACAGAAGCGAAAACAGGTAGTAAATAGAGAGGAAGACAGAGGTAAGAAAGCTGAAACTGCCCGACACACTTGTGTCTGTCAAAATGAATGTTCTCTTCTCTCATTTCTCTAGTTAGGAGACTACCAAAGTAGTGGTACACTTCAGGGGAGCCTCGGGGTTTACCATAGGTTTTATGTTAGGTGAGAGTCGTCAGGAAACAGGACAAGTATTTCTTGACGCGGGTCTTGACGCATAAGATAACCCACCATTGGAGATTTTGGTCATCTGATCGAAGCCAATAGTTAAGCCAGACTCTGGAGTCTGGCGTTGTGGATAAAGTACTGTGTACTCTGATGCTGAGTTTGCTGGTTCGAGTAATAATAATAATAAAAATAATACACACACATATATATATATATATATATATATATATATATATATATATATATATATATATATATATATATATATATATATATATATATATAATTTCAAGATTGTAAAAATATATATATTTTTTGTATCGCAAAACTTTTGGTATAAATAGATCAACAAACAATATATATTTCTTTAAATATTTTGTTGTATATGTAATAATTCCATATAAATACATGCATATTTACACACAAAAAATTACTGTTACGAACACAGGTAAGAATGGCCTGTGATCTGGTCGTAATGGGTTCGGAGCAAAACAAACTCAGCAGATAGACTATAACTTTTATTTCCTTCACCAGATATATACAAATATTTACACTTATGTACACTATGTACAAAGATTAGAATACTCAGTGTACCACACGACGGTGACATAATGGCAAAAAACAAAAGCCGGACAGAGTGAGAGAACCGTGCTCAACCAGCTGGTAGGCAAGTCTGGCAGATGCTGACTGCGAGTGAACCACATTGGCTCAGCACTTGGCGGGCTCGCTTATGATTGGACAATGAACCAAGGTACTGATTTAACGACGGGTACCCTAATAATCGTTAAACCCTTAGCACTCGGTTTGCTGGTTGGGAGGTAGCCTATATGGAAGTATGTACATACAGTGAATAAATTGTAACATTAACTTTGCATGCCACACACTATATCACTTTTAATAAAATTTATTATTATTATTATTATTATTCATGGGAAATTCTAAACCCCTAGGGGGTCATATACCACCTGAAGAATGGGGAGTAATCAGGCTCAATCCAAAGAAAAATGAAACTGCCTCAGTTCCTTGGATCAAGAACCTTTTACTAGCATCAAGGTGCCTCCCTAAAGGGGATCCAACATTGTCTCACTTCGTCCAAACAATACTTTTGTTACTTCCTTAAAACTGATCCTCCTTTAAGAGATGCCGGTGAAGGGCTCTTGAATCCAGGAACTGGAGCTTCTTTACCCTTCCTTAGATCAAACCTGATTTCCCCCCCCCTCTTCCCACGCTGCATGACCCCTTTGCCCTTTCGGGTCTAGCGTTTACCCGTGGATGAAAAAATAGCATTTCTCTCAGTGTGGGAGGGAGAGTTCTTGGCAACAATGTACTAAGGAGTAATAAAAATAATCAAGATTTTTTTATTGTTTTATTTATAAATCAGCTTAGATAATTAGCTGATGGTGAGATTTTTGGTGAATTCGTCAATAATAAGAGAATCTTGTAGTATTTCACCATTATCCAGCACAGCCAGGTGTGTGTTACTTCTGTGTCCATTGGGAGCCTCGTCAC